ATAGTCATGTATATATATATAATAGTCAGGTGTATATATATATATAATAGTCAGGTATATATATATATAAATATAATAATGTATATATATAATTCAAGTATTAAGGGGTAAAATATTCATTTTTCTGAGTTTATGGCGAAAAAATGGAGAAAAAGTGGCACAACACGCGCGTAAAATGCACATCCATCAAGTTAGACGGTTTAGGGGATAACACGCAATCAAAAGTATAATACAAGGGGGTATAGCGCAATTTTTAAAATACAGGGGGATAACGCGCAGATTTCATATAATACAGGGGGGTTTGGCGCAATTTACCCGAAAAGCTTATAACTTTCTCGTGCTTTTTATGTGCAAAAATTTTCGATCAAAACTATTTTGTTTTCTGCATTCGTCAAACACCGTTTGTAGTACCTTTATCGTTAATAGGATACACGACATTAGTAACTCTAATCACCATTTCTCGACTAAAAAAAAAAATAATTTGGGGCATATTATCCTCTCAATATCCAGAATCCAACAAGTTATCCAAAATTTAACAATTAACAGATTATCTCATATTCTCGATATCATTTACATTCTCTAACTTATGATTTTATTCTTAAAAAATTTCAATCCCTCTATCATTATCATATGAATTTGATGTGTTAAATATCGTTCAATTTCAACTAGGAGTGCATCATGTTCTTCCTACACAATTTCAATAGGATCGAACACATCAACTTCTACTACACAAGTATTAGGTTTTACATACATATCCATACATCAGGCGAGAGACTTCGTTAGTATATCATGTTTTTCTTTATTTCCTTTTCGAGCATCTCGAATCAAATTTGCGTTTGCCCATCGTAACTCATATAAAAAATCTTATCTTAGAATAATATATTAATAAGTTTAATCCGAATGATAATTAACAAAAGTTATAAAATAAAGGAACAATAAGTATTTAAAATATAATTAGTACAACAAAATTTGAATCAAAAGTTTGAAATTTCTATATGTAATTCTAAGTTAGAAATAATATGCTCCATGTAAGTGATGTTAATCAAGAATTAATATGCTCCTTAATGTATTTTATTTTTGTGTTGGATTAAACTTGAAGGTGAGAAGAGGAGCCACAATTATACTGTTCTCTTAACCTTAATTTGTAATAATTTTGTAAATGGGCAAATACATACAATTAAAAAAAAAATGTGAGGCCTTTCAAAATTGAAGGCCCTAGACAACTGCCTATTTTGCTTGCCTCAAGAGCCGCCTCTGATCGTAGGTACATGTTAATATATCCACCGTTTATATATGCATGCCACATAAACGGTGGACATATTAACATGCATCATCGTAGGTAGGAGAGTATTACTCTATACTAGTTGTTACCCGTGCATTTGCACGGAAAACTGTATGATAAAAAATAAAATAATAAAAAATATAAACAATAGTAAAAATTATAACATAATCATTGAAAAAAAAAGTTTTAAGAAAGAAAATTCAAATATAATTAAACACTTCTTTATATACAACGTCCATAATTTTTCGAAGCCCAATCTGATTTCTTGATGTATCCCAATAAAAAAATTAGTAAGAGAATATTTTAAATACGCCACAACCCATTATTTTTCTTATAACTTAAGCTCAAACATTCACATCTCATTGTTTATTAACAAAGCCCAGACAAAATCAAACAATAAATTCTTTTTTCGGGCCACAAATGGGTCAAATAAAGTTGATTTCGTTTGAATCCAAGTAGTATCAAGGCTAATGTTTTTTTTTTTTTATTGGGCCAAATTAAACATAATCCAAATGCATGGACCCATATAGCACGGTCAAAGCTTCATCCACCACACAAATGTAGAACATTCAACAAAGTGGTAGAGACAGGTATTTAATGCCTAAAACCCTACCACCTGCAACATTTTCATCATTTTTTCTTCATTTTTAATCTTTTTTTATTTATCGGAGACAAATACTTGGATCGATTCTGATTTTGTTTAGCCGTTGTAGACATGCTTTTAATTTATACATGTCTTACATCATGAAAAACAAATTTCAGCCCAGTAGTTACTTCTTTGTTTGTCGAAAATTTCTTTGACTAAAATCGAATCAATCGCAATATTGTAGTTTTTTTTTCTTGTTCTTAGCCAAGAAAATCATATTATCAAATTGCACTGCCATTTGGAACTCAAAAGAAATATTTTGTGTCGAAATAGTTTTTTCGGTGACTGTGATTATGAGTGTGGAATGCAAAGTGAAAATGTGTCTGATTTTTATTTTATTTATAAGCACCTACATAAGTCTATTAACTAATTAGTGTAAATACCAACAAATCAAGAGCATGATTAGTTGAAAATATTTTGATAACTGGAAAAAATATGAACTATATAATAGTGGCGCATTTGATATGATTTTTGAAACTGGAATTTATGTTCCGCCAACTAAAGATTTTATTTTTAGAGTCAAAATTTATGTTTTTGTTTGTATTTATTAATTAGACATGTGCTTCTATCATATAAAAATTATTACGTTTTCTTAAGTTATTTTTATCATTCAAAATCAATTGAGATTTAAATTGTATTTTAACCATGCAACGTTTATATTAGTAACATGAATAAAATAATTTATATATTTGTAGCATATATTAAGAAAATTAACATAAATAAAAAAAAAATATTGGTGTTTCTGATTTTTAGAAAAAAAAAAAATATATGTGTCAATCATGCACAGATGTACATATAATATTATAAGTAATATTTGAGAATTTAATATTAAAATTTTAGATAATGAACGTATTACATTTTCAAAAATTTGATCATTAGAAAATTAAATAACGATTTTATTATTATGAAAAATTGTATATTACCATTTGATACTAACTGTTTAATTATTATTATTATTATTATTATTATTATTATTATTATTATTACTATTATTAAATCAATTGTTTATAAGATTCTAAAATTGTCTGACTATGCTATTAAAATAATTTACTAATTATTTTTAAATAAATTTTTTCATGAGATACAAAAGAAAAAAGATAATATTGATGTTAAAATAAATAACTTAAAACAATCTATATATATATAATTGCTAGCATATAGCATTTAATTTTACCTATTTAATAAAACCTCTAACATTTTCCCTCCATTTTCGGTTACAAAAATTATCATTAATATTTTTTATTTCTCACATTAATACATCATAATGAGTATAATCATGTAATTTTCTATTATATTATATAATAATTATTGCTAATACCAACTAATAATAATTCACAATAAATATAAATTACATAATTAAGAACAATTGTTTTAAGTTATTTATTTTAACATCAATATCATCTTTTTCTTTTGTATCTCATGGAAAAATTTCTTTAAAAACAATTAGTAAATTATTTTAATAGCATAGTCAGATAACATTAGAATCTTATAAACAATTGTTTTAATAATAGTAATAATAATAATAATAATAATAATAATAATAATAATAATAATAATAATAATAATAATAATAATAATAATAATAATAATAATAATAATAATAATTAAACAGTTAGTATCTAATGGTAATATACAATTTTTCATAATAATAAAATCGTTATCTTTTTTTTCTAATGATCAAATTTTTGATAAAAATGTAATATGTTCATTATCTAAAATTTTAATATTAAATTCTCAAATATTACTTATAATATTATATGTACATCTGTGCATGATTGGCACATATATTTTTTTTCTAAAAATCAGAAACACCAATAATTTTTTTTTTTATTTATGTTAACTTTCTTAATACATGCTACACATATATAAATTATTTTATTCATGTTACTAATATAAACGTTGCATGGTTAAAATACAATTTAAATCTCAATTGATTTTGAATGATAAAACTAACTTAAGAAAACATAATAATTTTTATATGACAGAAGCACATGTCTAATTAATAAATATAAACAGAAACATAAATTTTGACTCTAAAAAATAAAATCTTTAGTTAGCGGAACATAAATTCCAGTTTAAAAAATCATATCAAATGCGCCACTATTATATAGTTCATATTTTTTCCAGTTATCAAAATATTTTCAACTAATCATGCTCTTGATTTGTTGGTATTTACACTAATTAGTTAATAGACTTATGTAGGTGCTTATAAATAAAATAAAAATCAGACACATTTTCACTTTGCATTCCACACTCATAATCACAGTCACCGAAAAAACTATTTCGACACAACATATTTCTTTTGAGTTCCAAATGGCAGTGCAATTTGATAATATGATTTTCTTGGCTAAGAACAAGAAAAAAACTACAATATTGCGATTGATTCAATTTTAGTCAAAGAAATTTTCGACAAACAAAGAAGTAACTACTGTGTTGAAATTTGTTTTTCATGATGTAAGGCATGTATAAATTAAAAGCATGTCTACAACGGCTAAACAAAATCAGAATCGATCCAAGTATTTGTCTCCGATAAATAAAAAAAAGATTAAAAATGAAGAAAAAACGACAAAAATGTTGCAGGTGGTAGGGTTTTAGGCATTAAATACCTGTCTCTACCACTTTGTTGAATGTTCTACATTTGTGTGGTGGATGAAGCTTTGACCGTGCTATATGAGTCCATGCATTTGGATTATGTTTAATTTAGCCCAAAAAAAAAAAAACATCAGCCTTGATACTACTTGGATTCAAACGAAATCAACTTTATTT